TATTGTCAATTAAATCGAATGCTTTGTATTGCATGCGCTCCACGTTTTTCTCGGACACACAACATTGAAAGTTTCTGGATCCACAACATTGAAAGTTTCTGGAACACAACATTGCAAGTTGATAAAAGCGTTGTAATAAAATACATCGATGTTTTCCTTCGATTCGATGCATCGAAATGTACATCGATATTTTTCGATGCATCGAAGGGCATACATCGATGCATCGATTTGCATAGGATTTTTCAGATAATGTTTCACAACAAAATATGTTATTAGCGACTAAAGCTACAACAGCTAGCAATTTCATCCAGTTCGGAAATTTTTTGGAAATTACAATGCGGGACAAATTTGTAGTGGGCCTGGAGAAAGGTCCAGATCGCGATAAGATTTTACTAGAAGATGTGGCTAACTGTATATTTCATCGCAAAAGCAACGGAATACATACAAAAACAATGCTCACGGCCAGATGAAAAACAGCAAGATCATCTTATTTATATGAATAACAAGAAGAAAATCGACAGACAACAGCAGGGTACCCAGCAGCAAAAACTACGAAAGCAACACCAGTGTGACCGGCGTAGTCAGCGACGGTATGCATGTACGGTATGTGGTTATAAGAACCACGAAACGAGTAAGTGCAAATATAAAGATTATAAATGTAACAGATGTAATAAAAGGGGCCATTTAGCCAAAGTATTTAAAGTAAAGAAGAGGAAAAGGAAATGTATTATGTACAAAATCAAGAAGAAAGTTTATTTAATTTAAAAAGTTTAAACTCAGTGGATGATAGTCCAATATATGCAACAATTTGTATTAAAAAACAATCCTTTAAGTGGCAGTTAGATTCGGGGTCTCAAAACAATGTCATTTCGGTAGATACATTTAGACGGTATTGTGGCGAATCTAAGCTTAAGCACTTAAACGTAATTTTGAAAACGTAAAATGGGTCAGTGATTCACCCAGTTCAATGTAGAAGTGGAGTTCAAAGGTTAAGCAAAGGTTGTGCCAATATTGGTAGTCCTAAATGGTGGTCCTCCGCTGCTAGGTTGGAATTTTATGCGCACATTTGACATCAGCATAACCTCCCTGAATTATATAAATAACGCAGATAAAACGCAATTTTAAAAGAGTTTTCAAAACTTTTCGATGGAAGCTCAGGATGTTTTAAAAAAGAAAAAGTGCCTCTAACATTGAAAGACGGCGCAGTCCCGAAGTTTTTTAAGCCAAGGCCAATAGCATTAGCTCTGCAGAAGAAAGTGGATTATGAGATTCAGAAGTTGGTTAATATGAATGTTTTGAAACCGGTCGATTATTGTGAGTGGGGAACACCAATTGTACCCGTTTTAAAGAAAAACGGAGACATAGGGATCTGTGGCGATTTTAAGATCACCTTGAATCCGCAGTTGGTGATAGAACAATATCCCTTGCCCCGAATAGACTATATATTTTCCAAACTTCATGGTGGTATAGAATTTACTAAGCTCGATCTGTCAATGGCTTACCAGCAATTTCAGTTAGATGAGGATTCGCAAAAGTTAACTACGATCTCTACATCTAGGGATTTGTTCCAATACACACGACTGATTTACGGCCTTGCGTCGGCACCAGCCATATTTCTAAGGGCCGTGGACAAAATTTTTGCAAGTATGGATGGTGTAGTTGTCTTCTTAGATGACATTCTGGTAACCGCGCCCGCTCGACAGTTACATATTAAAACGTTAGTGAAAGTACTAAACATCTTACAAGAATTAGGGCTCAGATTAGCTTCTGATAAGTGCGAATTTTTTGCTAAAAAGATCAAATATTTAAGTCAAGTGCTCGACGCAAATGGGTTGCACCCGGAACCCGAGAAAATGCGCGAAATAGCCAATATGCCATATCCCACTAATAAGAAAGAATTTAGATCATTCTTGGGAGTAAATAAATTTTTTAAAAATTTTGTCGCAGATATTACGGAGTTGTCAGCTCCTTTATACGATTTGTTAAAGACTAACGCCGATTTTAATTGGATGAAGAAACATTCAGCGTCAGTAGATTTGCTCAACAATAAGTTGAAAGAAAATGTTTGTCAGGCGCACTATAATCCTAATTTGGAAACCACGCTGACGGTAGATGCCACCCCTGTTGGGGTGTCAGCAGTTTTGACGCAAATCAGGGAGGGTCAAAAGCTTACTATCGATAGTGCATCTAGGAAGTTGTCCGATACGGAAAAGCGATATTCTCAGCTGGACAGGGAAGCTTTAGCGATTTTGTTCGGTGTTAGAAGATTTCATCACTATATATTTGGTAGACATTTCACTCTTGTAACAGACAACAAGCCACTGCAGCATATTTTTGGTCATAAGAAGGGGATACCAGTTATGGCAGCCAATAGATTGCAAAGAATTGCCATAGTCCTATCGGGATATGATTTCGATATCGCACATATTAAATCTGAAGAAAACGTGGCAGGTTTTTTTTCACGTCATCCGAGCGGGGCAGAAATGGAAATTTTGTCCGAAAATATAGGGTTAAACTATTTGCGGGAAGTAAGTGTTTTACCCGTGAATGAGGAGCTTATAAGGGCAGAATCAAAAGATGATACAGTAGTATCTAAGGTTATGAACTTTGTCCGAAATAAATAGCCAAATAAGTGTTTGGACCCGGAACTTAAACTTTTTTATGCGAAAACTAGAGTTATCAGTCGAAAATGATTGTCTGTTTTGGGGTCATCGGATCACCATTCCTCGCGGATTACAAAAACGAGTGTGCGAATTTTTACACGTATCTCACATGGGCATCAATAAGATGAAATCGATGGCTAGAAAATGTTGTTGGTGGCCGGGTCAGTCGCTCGATTTAGAGAGCTTAGTAAAGGGTTGCGACGCTTGTCTTGCAGTTAGAGATAATCCACATAAGCAGGAGCTTATCTCATGGAAATGGCCGGAAAGGCCATGGTCTAGGATTCACATAGATTTTTTGGGCCGATATGGAACCGCTGTTGTTTAGTCGTTGTAGACAGTTTTAGTAAATGGGTCGAGTGCGTGGATATGGGCAGAAATACAACCAGCGGTGCTACGATCAGGGCTTTGAGGGAACTTTTCGCACGTTTTGGGTTACCACAAACCCTAATGTCGGTTAATGGTACAGCGTTTGTATCTCATGAGCTTCGGCAGCTTTTAAAGGATAATGCCATTGAACACTTGACCACTCCGGTGGGAAATCCTGCTACCAATGGCCAAGCCGAGAATAGTGTGAAAACAATTACAAATGCGTTGAAGAAAAATTTGTATCAATCGGAAGGTTCAAAATTTGAAATGGTATTATGCAGATTCCTACTCGATTATAGAAATACAGTACATGTAAGCACGGGGGTATCTCCGGCGCAGCTAATGTTCAGCCGGCAATTGAAAACGAGATGTGCTTTATTGAATTCAAAACGTCAAGTACACGTACACGTACAGTAACTGTACACGTCGAAACGGTACGACGACATGTAAGCGATAAGCAACTCAAGCAGAAAGAGTATTACAAAGGCCGGAAGTCGCATAAATTTGAAGTTAACGATAACGTAATAGTTAAGGATTATTCTGTCCCAGGCAAGGTGTCATGGGTCCGTAGTTTAGTAATGCGGAAGTTAGGAAAACAAACTTATTTTGTGAAAATCGCCAATTCGGGCAAGATTTGGAAGCGTCATTCGAATCAAATTATCAAGTGTCATGAGCCTAAAGAAAATATTGACGTTCCAAGTACCTTGCTGGATTGCACTCAAAGATTGCAGGTGGATAATCTGTTGCCAACTGGAGATGCCACCCAAAATATCACTAGAGCAAATACTAATGTTTCATATAATACAAATCATAGTGAGGATCGTAGTGTAAGCGCTGACCAAACAGAGCCTAACTGCCACCGTTATTATTTACGGGCTAGAACTAAGGTGTAACCATCTTTGTATCTCATTTTTAAAGCGCGCAGCTTGACAGTTAAAGGGGGGCTATTGTAGTATATCGATATAGACCGATACCGATAACCAACTGACATCGCGACAACTAAAATGGTTGACTTCACTATTATAGCCCGAACACAATGAAAACGACGAGCTACAAACCACAGCTGTCAAATTATTTTAACACGTACTCTTATGTAGATAATTATTTTGGCGACGACCGGGCTACGCGACGGCTGTGGTTGTGGCCAGATTAGATCTATTTCTATTTTTCTGGCGACAGATAAGGTTCTTCCTCTTCTTTTATGTCAAACTCATACAAATTCATGATGTCGCTGCCGCGTTCAAAGAAATCATGTCGCCATCGACAATGCGCTTAGATAATAAAGATGACAAATTGGAAGCTGTAGCGGTAGCTCGTCGTTTTCAATGTGTTCAGAACTTTACATGTCAATCTGTCGTTTTTGGTTGTTAGTTCGGCTTCCTCTGTAATTGTTGAGCACCACGCTAAAACACTTTACGTTGTAAGCATTTTACTTGTTAAGTTCACTCAATAAATATTAATTACATAAAAAGAACGTGTGCATTTATTACATATTGTATGTTGGCACATTTAGTTGAGAGCATTGAGAAAATTCAGAAAAAGTAATTTATAATTAAAGGCAAGTAAGCAGAAAGCTTATTTAAGCCTAGTATTGTCTTTTCGCGTTGGTTTTTTTTCTTTCTCTGCTTTACGTGAATTAATATTATTAATAATTTCTCGACGGAGCGATTAAAAAACATGTCCGCACAGATTGACAGTCAATCACCAACAAAAAAAAGTGGAAAAGAGGAACCAGAATTTACAAGGCGAACTTAGCACGGTGCGTAGGCAACTGGCTGAGTCAGCTGGCATCGTTGGATCGAATCCCACTGAAAGAAATCTGATGAGGAAATGTGGTGATTTCCGAAATGGCTATCACTTCTGGCATTTTTTCTAAATTATTGTTGCTTTTCCACAATAGTTTTTCATTAAAAACGGCATCAAGCTCAATAAAAATTTTTGAATATAGTTGTTCATAAACTCAAAACGTTAAACTCGAGTTAAAATTTCAAGTATTACTCTCTCCTATAAAATTTTGGCAAACTCACACACGAGGTTTTGCATATTGTTGATACGCGGTTTTGTACTTTAAACGACGATATGTATATGTTTTAACAAAATCAAACAAACAAGCTTATTCAATATGAAACAAAGAACAGCTAAACTTAACTTCGGCGCCCACATAACACTGTGGGTAATAGCGTAGCCGAGATATTGGTACGGTTAGAGCTGCTACTTTGAAGAGCGGCCGCAGGTAGCCTACTCACAAAAGGAGTTTCATTTTTCATTTCATTTATTTCAAAAAACATTAGTAAAATAAGACTTAGTCTTTTTTAGTACAACAGGTTCATACAAATTACAAATTACAACAATAGAATATTAAATGTAATAACAAATATCGAGAGTATTCTAGATAAATATTACAAATACAGATTGGTTCATCAATTTGAAGAGAAGTGGGTATACAGAATAGCTTTAAAGTTGCTCTTGTTAAGTTTGCTTCTAACATTAATTGGAATGGAGTTCCAGATTCGTATAGCGTTAATGAAAAACAGTCTTGTGGAATTGTTAAATTTGTATAGAGGTAAGATTAAGTCGTACGATCGCTCCGACTTAGGAAAGATAAGTTTTTCATATAAGTAATAAGGTATCTTCATATTCATAAGTCGGAAAAGGAAAATGCAGTTTCTGGCCTTTATGTAGTCGCAGATTTCACACCCCAGCAAGGAAGACCTACAGGCAGATATATGGTCAAATTTACGAATACCAAATACGTACCGAGTAACATGATTAAATAAAATGTCAATTTTACGGGCAGAGGCGGAATCAAGTTTGCTGTATACCAACTCTGAGTACGTTATTATAGGTACAATTAACTGACGAGCTAGCATTCTCTAGTGGCAACTGGAGTGAATGATGCCGAAAGCCTCAGATTTCTAAGTATTCCATATACTTTGCTCACTACAGAGTTAATATGATCACAACAGCTAAGGTTAGAGTTGATAACAAACCCCAAGTTAGTTATTTTGGTAACCAGTTTTAAGGATTGATTATTAATATAGCGAAGGGATACTGTCGATATTAAATTTCTTCTTGTAGACTGGTAATACATAAGACTTGGAGGGATTGAGACAAAGTCCGTTCTTAGTAGCCCAACATAAAACAGAATCTAAGTCTTTGTGTAAATTTATGGCAATAACATCCTTATTTTGGAAGCGGCCGGAGAAATAAAGTTGAATGTNAACAAGTAAGAAAGTCTAAGTTCGGGTGGAGCCGAACATTAAATACCCGGCGCAAGTATTAAATATATGTTTTTTCACCTTTCCGAAAGCTACCGCTAGATGGTAAGCCGGGGTGTATCAATTTTGAGTAAATAAGCGTGCTTAAATANCTGGCATACCTGCAGGTCTGAAAAATATCATTTATAAATACACTAAATAAGAAAGGACCCAAAATGGACCCTTGTGGAACGCCCCGCATCAAAGACTTAGCGTGCGATACTGTCGACCCAACTTTCACTCGTTGATACCGGCCCATTAGGTAGCTCTTCATGGGTGTTTATGCTGATTCCCCAAACCCTAAGTAATATTTGAGTTTTGAGCAAAGCAGTGAATGGTCAACTGAGTCAAATGCCTCAGTAAAGTCAAGCAAGCATAAGAGTGACAATTCACCTCTTCAAGAATTTTAACCGTTGCTGTTGAACATCCATGCCCTGCTCTAAAATCTGACTGAAGAGAAGATAAGAGGTTCTTATCTGATAGGTGCGAGGAAATTTGCTCAGATATTATCGATTCAAATACAAAAGTCACGAGGAGACCAATCATGTTTGCATTTTGCAATGGGACAAACGGAAGCGACTTTCCACGGGCTAGGAAAACAGGATGTAGTAACGCAGTGATTAATTATGTGAGTCAAAGGACCAATAATGTACGACAGGAGCAGTTTAATAAAGCGAAGAGGTATGCCGTCCTCCCCGACTGCGTTAGACTTAATTTGGNGTATAGAGACATATGAAATAATTCCATACTCATGGAGAAAAATGTACGGTATTGGAAAAGGGAGCGTGGCATCTCCCATCTTACAACTAAGTGCACGAATTCTACCAAATTTAAACGGCATATTCGGACTATCATGCAGATGGGTTATGTGAAGTGTGCCCGAATTCGGTCCATCGGTTCATGATATATGACAGTTTATGACTATCACATGAACCACGTACATATATGGTACAACAGCAGATACATGAAAAATCGAAAACATAGTGAAAAATTGTTTGCTATAATGTGCTGTGTTTATTTTTTCTTCGGATAAATTAAGTCAAGTATAAACATGGCTGCAATATAGTAAACAAAAAAAATTCATATAGAAAAATTCCAGGATTTTTCATTCATTTTTTCAATATTTCTCAATATTTCGTGTAGAGAAGCACACCGGGGTACCGCTAGTTCACATCTAAAGAGCACTCAGCAGTATCCTTAGGGTTTACCCGAAGGGTTTTAATATTGCGCCATAGCTCGCCAAAAGAGAGAGAAGGGTCAAGTTTAGATGTGAAATATCGGCGCTTCTCACTTGAATTGGGTGGCACTATTTCTTGCCGTGCGAAAGACATCCCAATTGTTCTGCGAACTATTTATTTTCCAAACACGATACGCTTTTGTACGGGCTTTAATAGCAGTTTGAAACTTAGAATTAAGCCACGGACACGATTTAACTTTTGCATGACGGATAGGTATGTGAGCATTAAAAATAGTCGATAAGTTAAAGTTAAGGAAGTCAAGTTTTTCATTAGCCGTCACGAGATACCAGCAGGTACGCCAATCAACGTTGCTAAGATCTTCACAAAGTGCATTCACATCACACGAACGAAAGTTTCTAAACGTGTACATCTGCTCTGGGCTGGAGCAGTTGAAATCAATATCTACCGCACAAAAGATCATGTCATGGTCGGAGATAAATGATAATTGATCAAATTTTGAAACAGAAGAACAGTCCGAAACGATAAAATAGTCAAGAAGACTGGGATTACAGTTATTACCATATCTAGTCGGTACTGAAGTATTAATAATCGACAGGCAAAGACTCGAAAGATTTTCCAACAGAGCACAACACAAAGAATCACGTACAAGAATATTAATATTGAAATCACCGCATATTATTATATTGTCGTAGTCAATTATCAAAGGGGATAGACTATCAAAAAATGGAGTAAGGGAAACGGTTTTGCTGGGGTTATAGACACACGAGACAAGAACCTTGCTGACACGGTTAGACAATTCAACAAACAAAAATTCTACACCCCCGTTCTTGGAATGACAGACAGGTCGAATATAAATGTGGCTCTTACAATAAATAGCAACACCACCGCCTTTTTTATTCACCCTGTCATTGCGTAATAATTTATAACCATTAATATTAAAGTACGAATCGCCCGCACTGTTATTAAACCAAGTTTCTGAAATACATATGACATCGATAGAGCAAGACTCAAAAAATGCCTAACGTAATCCATTTTTAGGCTATTCAGACTTCTTGTGTTAAAATGAAAAACCTTAAGACCTTTCTGTTGATTACACAGAAGTTTTAGCACAGCAAGACTGCCATTACCAACGCTATCACTCTGGCTGGTCAGAGACATAATGGAAAAAATACACAAAACAACTTTGACACAAAAGTACATATACATAAACAAATAAAGCATGAAACAAAGAGATGAACCAATTTTACATTAGAATTAAAAAAAGATAAGCTAAGAGTAAATGAATAAAACATTAAAATAACATGTATAAGGCAACAGTAATACTGCGTGTTAGCAGAGACCTTTTATCTCTTGTCAAGCTCTCGTAAATAGAGAATTTCCCATCAAGGTCAATAGCATCCAAAGATATTGCGGATTTAGTCCGCTTGCGATGCTCACTAAATGCACGGTGCGTCCGATTTCGATCGAGCGGAGAGTGGAACTTGGCAATAATTGCACTATTAGGGTTGCCGTTGTTGGGTTTAGTGCGAAAAATGTCACGTATTTGTGGGACAAGAAAATCAATGGAGAGACAAATACGGTTGAACGCACTCTTTAGGTTTTCCCCTTCAGCATATGGCAAACCAAATATAATAGTGTCAGCAGTCACTTCGGGAGTACGCGAACTTACAGTCTCTATATGTGTAAACAGTTTCTGTACTTCACTTTGGAGCTTTTCTTGTTTCTCTTCTAATGCAGAGATGCGCTCAGCAGACTCTTTTACTTTCGTGGAGAGTACAGAGATTTCAGCGTCAATCTTTTTACATAGGGCGCTCTCAATTTCCCCAATTGTATTTTAGAGACTATCAAAAAGTGTCTGCAATTTGTCGAATTGTTGTTGTACTTTGTCTTCAAGCTCTTTAAGTGCAGTTAGGATCGTCGGCAGAGCTGCACTCTCGTCCAGTTAAAACACTTAAAATTGGCGAAACTTTGCTCATGCGGCGTTTATTAGCAGCAGAGATACAAGCATGAGACATACCTTGAATTCAGCAACAACAACACAAGCGGGAATATTCTTTCGAGCGTAAACGCTTCAGATTTATGCACATTAAATGCTTAACCAGTGCAGGTGAGCACGCTAATACAATTCCACGTTCTTGGAAATACACAAATATATATTATTTCAGGCAAAATATTGCAAAAATACTAATTAATTTAAATAAAATACACGCACTAAACCACTCAACGACTGCACTCGCCGACGACTTTTCGTTGTGTGCGCAATATATTGCATATGGCTAATATGACCAATTATTTCATAGCTCAAAGAAGTACAGGTTAGGTTGGGTTAAGTTAACGCCGCGAGCTGATTACATAATTTCGAATGCAGCTAATTTCGGTCCCTGAAATCTCAGTGTTTGTTCAGAAGTGCGAGCCCAAATGCTTTCACCTTAGCCTCGCGAAGGTTGGACAGTCTAAAGGAAAGTGTGGAGATGCTTCCACTTCATTTCCTCTTGACAGCTGATAAAAAAGGATCAGTTGAAATTAATAGTCTGAGCGCATGAATACCAATCGGAATATGGCCTGTCAGAACCTCCATCACTAGCCCTTGTGAGGTTATGTGTTTTAAAGGGCCCTATAAAAATATTTCCTGCAGCAGAGAAACGTCTTTTTCCCCTGTTTTATGCCACAAAAGCACCCGCTTTCCTTTAGCCCAATAGCAGTTCGTGCTGCGAAAATTCTGTCTGCAATATCCGCAGGCGCCATGTTCAACATATGTATGTTAAGCGCCAGTGTACGTGTGGTTCCTAATGCTCCGCTTATTCCTATTTTAGAAGTGTAGCCTTCTGGAGTGAGTTCCACCAGATAAGGGCTCCTGGAAAAAGATAAAGGCTTAAATCTGGTTTCCTAGAGCTAATGAATTAATTTGGGCTGGAGACCTCACCTTTTACCGATAGCCCCTTACAGCAGTACGAGACAACCGAAACATTTCTTATCCTTTCCTCAATGTTAGGCTTCCCCGACCGCCGCCGTTGATCGCCGTTTTTAGAAAAAACGAAGTGAGACTGGTTGGCCTAAAATACCTAGGGCAAACAGGTGCGCCTTTTCCGACCATCGGGATGAACGCAACAGTGACTACCCTCCAAGCCTTGAGGATGTACCCGGTACTCACGCAGTTCGCATAAATAGGAT